GAGGAAGGGAGAGGGAGAGAGAGAGAAACATCAGTGATGATAGAGAATCACTGGTCGGCTGCCTCCTGCACGCCCCCACGCTGGGGATCCAGCTCGCCACGGGCAGGTGCCCTGACTGGGAATCGAACTGTGACCTCCTGGTTCCTAGGTCAGAGCCCAACCACGGAGCCACGCCGGCCGCCGGCCGGGCAGTTTCCTTCTTAACAACCAGGCTCTGGAACCTGTGGCGGGAACCAGAGAGCCTGCCCTCGGGGATGTGGTAATCACAGCAATGAAAACATCTGGGAGTGAAGAGCCATGTGCTGGCTCCCATACAGCCGTCCTCCTCCCGCTCCACAGCCGTGTCTGAGCCCTGTGTGCTGGGCGCGGGGCACGCGCAGCAAGACAGGCATGGTCCCTGCCCTGGGGGGCTGTGTTGGAAGACGCAGAAAATAAGTATTTATATGAGTGATGACTGAACCACAATAGTGACAACTGCAACAAAGGAAAACGGAGGGCACCTGGCCGAGTCTGGGGAGACTTCCTGGAGGAAGGGGCATGGAGCCAGAGACGAGGAGGCGGAGTGACTTTCATGGGGTGAGCAGTGGCTCTGTCAGGGAGAAGCGCGGGCCAGCCTGGGGTCCAAGTCCCACGTTGAACACTTCGGGGCCATCACGGAGGGGCACACGGAAAAGAGGCCGCTCAGTCGGCCAGCGCTGCCGAGCAGCTGGCGTTGAACCCGGAGCCAAGTGGTCCCCAGTTCAATTCCCAGGCAGAGCACGTGCCTGGTTGTGGGCTCGATCCCAGTGGGGAGTGCGGGAGGCAGCCCCTGAGCCGATCTCTCTCATCATTGGTGTTTCTTTCTTTCTTCTTTTTTTTAATCCTCACCCGAGGATATTTCTCCATTGATTTTTAGAGAGAGGGAAGACAGAGAAGCATCGATGTGAGAGAAACACATCGATTGGTTGCCTCCTGCACGTGTGCTGGCCAGGGCCCAGGCTGGGGAGATACCTGCAACTGAGGTTCGTGCCCTTGACTGTAATTCCGGAATCGAACCCGGGACCCTTCGGTCCACAGGTGGACGCTCTATACACTGAGCCAAACCGGCCAGGGCTCATCATTGACGTTTCTCTCTCTCTCCCTCTCTCTCTAAAATCAATAAAAACATATATATTTTTTAAAAAGAGTGCCTCTCAGAACCGCACATCTTGTGCTCTAACAGCGTGAACCTGTTTCACAGCCTGTCCTGCGAGCCAGGCCCTGACAGGGCCCTGAAACGGCACAACGGGCGAGCAGGACCCCGCAGGGCAGTGACGCTGCCGGTCTCCAGGCACAAAGGCCGCAACAGAGAGCGTGATCGCGTGGGAAGGACGGGCACAGAGCTACACAGGGCCCTCGGTGCCATAAACCAATAGCGGAGACCACGGCCAAGGCCCCGGCGCCCGCACGGGAGCAGGAGAGGGCCGGTAACTGCCCCCCAGTCCTGCAGAGCGGAAGGCTGGGGGGCCGCCAACGCCAGCACCCGCCCCCCCATCCTCCTGCCCTCCACACCTTATTTTCCGCAGCAACGTGTGGAAGGGCCGGAACAGCTCGGACATGTCTTCCGCCTTACGGTCCAAGTTTAGGGGTCCGTCCGCGTAGACCACCAGGCCGCTGCATTCAAGACACAAAAGCCAGCTGGCTTCAGGCCCCGCGGCTGCTGGGCACCCAGACGCACCGGGGCCTCCAGGCCACCCCACACCCAGCGCGGCACATGCTTCGCC